AGGGAGGCTTTTTGATGATGGGAAGCTTTTTGATAAAGGGAGGCTTTTGGGTGAGGGGTTTTTGGCTAAGAGGAAATTGCTGGAGGGAGGACTGCTGAAAGGAGGAAAATGAATTGCTGAAGGGAAAATGATTGCTGAAGGGAAAAGAAATTGCTAGAGAGGACTGCTGAAGGGAAAAGAATTGCTGAAGGAGAACTGCTAAAGGGGAATTGATAAAGCTAGAGAACATGGGACAGTGCAAGTTTGCACTGAGAATATTATACATAGGCTTTAGAAAAGCTAAGCTAAAAAAACGCTAAAGAGAAGGTGGGACAGTACAAGTCTGAGCACCGAGGCTTTAAGAAAGCTAAAGAAAGAACATGGGACAGTGCAAGTCTTATGGGACAGTGCAAGTCTGAGGGCAAAGACTTTAAGAGAGATTATGCTAAAGAAAAGCTAAGAGAAAACATGGGACAGAGCGAGCCTAAGGAAAGAGACTTTAAAGAATAGAAAAGAAGCAAGGTTTTAAAGAACTGTAAAGGAGTAAGGCCTTAAAGAAAAGACAGAGAAAAGAAACAGAGTAAAGAGAAGAGATTAATAGAGATAAGAGGCAATGAGGCTATTGTGCATCTCCACCTGAGCACCCAACACACCTGACCCCAACTTTCTGCATGTCTGTCTGTCTATTCTGTGTCCTTTTCAAACTTTTTGTATGTGTGTTTCTGCTTCTGCATCTCCCATCACCCACAGTTAGCCCCAGTTAGGTTCAGTAATAACCAGGAGCAAGAGAAAGGTCGTTCCATCAATCCAACCTATTTTTAATGCATTTCAAAGAAAGCTGCAAGTCTAAGTATGTTTTACCCACTAAACACTTCAGCACACAAATCATTAACTAAAGTTGAATAATTTTTACAGTGTTTTTAGGTAAAATTTACAGTGTTTTTAGGTGAAATGCACAAATCTTAAGTGTACTATCTGTCAGTTTTGACAGATGCATATACCTCTGAAAGTGAAACCCCATCAAGATATTACCATCACTCCAGAAAGTCCCCTTGGGCCCATTCCAGTCAATCCTCACCTCAAATCTCAACTGCAGAGGAAAGTACTGTTAGCTTTTTTCCAACACAGATTAGTTTTGCAGATAATCATTTTTAAATTCAAATTTTAAAACAAAAGAGTGAAAATTAGGCTGAGGAATGAAAAAGAACTTCATGTGGATGGATAGATGGCTACATACATAGAGAAATAAATACAACAAAATGCTTAACAATCACAGAAATTAGGTGGCAAGCAGACAAGTCTGCCAGTAATCAATTTATTATATCTCAGTTCCAAGTCTCCCTTTCTTTACCCTGCCTTGTGACAGCCTATAAATCTCTTTCCTTTGCCAGCTGGTGAAATTTCAAGCTCTAATAAGACAAGGCAATGACACTGTCAGGTGACAGCAGTACAGAGACACTTCTTTTCCAAATCTGGGACTCGATGATGACAGTGATGATGCATGGGAGCCCAGTAGCCTAGCTGAAAAAAAAAAAAAAAAACTCCACTTATGGCCTCAGGACCCAATGGGCACTTCTATAGACAATGTGAACATGGTCTTTTTGAAGAGGGGCCCTTTCTTCCTTCCTCATCCTAGACATAGTAGCTGAACTTGGGTACCTGCTACTGTTCAGAGTCCACTTTTATTCTTTTCTTTAGTTAACTATCCCTCTGTTCTAGTTTAAAATTTATCACAGTCAACTTTCAAATAACCAGTACAGTTGTCTCCTGACTGAAATCAGACTACTATAAAAAGTATTTACGGTGTATCTCTTTTATATGATTGAAAATGTTGGGGAAGAGGAAAGAGAAAGGAGATAGGTTTCTTTTTTTTTTTTCGTCCTGTGCAGGGCTTGGGGTGCAGTTCAGTGGTTCAATCCCTAGTACCAAACAAACAAAAAAGGTGAAATGTTAATAAACATTGAAGTAGGATGGTAGACTGAGAAGATTGAAGTAGGATGGTAGACTGAGAAGATTGTACTATAGTCTTCATTTCATGTATGTTTTAATTTTTCATAATAAAGCATTTTTTAACAGGCTTCACAAAGACCAAAGAATTTGAAGAGAGCCTGGTGGAATGAATTTTAAATAGAAATAGAAGATGAGACTGCAGTTGAGGAAAAAGTACAGATAAAATATGTAGGCAGGACATCTTTGAGCAACAGCCAGTAGTTTGGCTAAAGTATAAGATGTATACTGCCAATAAATGTAGCTGGTGAAATTTTTTCCTCCCCTTTATTAAAAAAATTATGGGAGACCATTGTTTTGAACTGAACTTATGCACTAGGCCCTCAATGATCAGACCAAACCAAAATGGAGTCACCTATGCTAAATTGAATAATCAACTGAAACTTTTAAAAAACATACAAATCCCAAAACAGAACAATTTTTCCTGAAAACAGATTCCAGTCTACCTGAGTTAGCATAATAAGGAAGTACCTTTTGCTTTAACCCTTACCAAAAAATAACTAGCTCTCTTCTATTTTGTTTCCTGATCCCACCTTACAAAACTCATTATTTTTTCAATGTCCAGTGGGAGTGCTCATTCTATTTTTGTAGAACAGAGGCTTCCCACATTCTTGAATAACAAATAAAAACCAAATAGATGTATAACTAAGTTTGCTGTACTTTCGTTTTTTAATGCCTTTCACCTTCACTTCAGTATGTTAGTTCTTCACTCTCAGCAGTTATTTTTTTTCCCCCTTACCTCCTGTCCCTCCTCCAGCCCATACTACTGGTCAAAGGCTAGCTCTTCCCACCACAAATTGATCCACTGCAGATTCTTTTTGTATGTCTTAATTTTTTCAAGACAATGGGCATAATCTAGTTTGGGATGCACTTACAGGAAAATGTTAGGTCTATATTTATATAGCAGGTTTTTTTTTTTACATGTAAAGCATTTAGTAGTAACACAAAACAAGTTTTCACAATACCTAGTTAGTAGGGGAAACAAGAAAGTATTAACTGATATTTTTATGATTTAATAACTCACGTGACGTTTTAGATGGAATCGCAAAATAAATTCACATGTACATGAGTGAGTAAGTGTACAATGGGTTGTGTGTTTCTCTATCCAAGAGAGGACTGGTAACGTTCCCTAAGCTTGTGGTGAGTACAGTTGGACAAATAATAAAATGAATATCCATATTTTCTCCACCATTCATACAATTAACCTTCAGGCCCCTTTCCAGTGACATTTCTCTTTTTTCTCCTTCCTCAGAAATGCCAACTGAAAATATAATAAAACCAGTCAAATTTTTCAAAGGAGGAACTTGTAATAGAAATAAAGTAGCTAGACATATCCTGGAATTAGTCTAACAAACTTGGGCGTTTTTGACATAGAGTAGCATTTGAAGCGATGCAACTCAAGAATGAGTTCACTTAGGGATTGAGTGTAGACAGATGAACACAGGCACACCAACGTAAAGGGAGCTTTAAAAAAAAAAAAAAAACTTGGAAGGACAGAGAAGAGGCAAGGCGACAATACAGAAAATCCAAAATATTATGTTCTCTGAGGACCAAATGAATAGTGATTAGAGATTCGAGGAGTCACTCAAATACTCATGTATTTTTCAATACATGGTACTGAAAAATCAAGTAGAAAAGTTAAGAAATTGTATTCCTTTCCCCAAATGGTAAATCTTCCTAAAATGAAATAAACTATTTGCATTCGTTTACCAGTGATAGAGGAAACCCAGAAGTTAGACGAAATGCTACCTCAAATACATATTTCGTTCATTTTCATTACATGTATACTATTCCAGACCATCACATCTTCCTTTCAAATTTGCACATGAAACAACTTTCAGAGAGCTTCCTTGCACGGCACTAATTTTAACTGGAAATCTCTTTAAGCTATCCTACAGCTGACAGTAACTAGGATCTCCTGGTTCCTTAGACATGTTGATGTGGCATGACTTTGTCAGACGATAAACGTGTATCCGTATCCACCTTCCAACAGAGGATGTGCAAACGAGACAACGTTCACGGAGAGCAGAGAAAGTTAGATCCGTGACCCCAAGATCCTTGGAGATGGGGGGGTCACCTCCGAAAAAGTAGACGCTCAATAAACATTTCCGATTTAACTTTGGAAGAGCTGCACTTTACGGAGGGGAGCGGGCGCGAACTTCAGACCACTACTCACACTATCGCCTTCCCACGCCCCTAATACTCCGCGCGGAGAAGCGACCCGCGACACCCGCCGAGTAACCCGCACCCAGGTAACGGCAACGCCGGGCCGCGCGCGACCGAATTCTGAACCCTCAGACGAAATGAAAACCCATCGCCTGTGGGCCAGGGCTCACCTGCCTCCGGAGTGACGTGGCCTCAGAGGAGGCTCCCCGCAAACCCTCTCCTAATCACCGGACACTACCGAAGTTCCCTGCCCTAGGGAAGGAGAACCCCGCAGGCGCCACGCGCGCTCGGGCAGCAAAGTCTCGGAGCCGCTGCACGCGCCACAGTTCGCTCAGGTGCTCCCGCCTCGTCGCTTAGCAACGCGCGAAGCTGTCCAGTCTTCCGGACTCATCAGTCCCACCCTCCTCAGAAGCGAGCACGACGTTTTTAAAAAAAAAAAAAAAAAAAAAAAGGTTTTGTTTCCGGTTCAAGCCGGCTTTACGCATCGGAAAGTCTCATTGCCTGGTACGCCTAAACCCGAGTAGGATAAAGTCTCCGTTGCGCCAGGGTAAGCGATGTGGCTCTGGAGTCCGTCTCTCCGTCTCGAGTTACACACACCTTCCCTCCCGCCAATGACTGAGCGCCATCAGGCCTCTCCTCCCAGAGCCCAAATGATCAGCTCTCAATCGTCCACCAATCACGAAGCTCGTTTTCTGGAACTACTTTGCAGTCGGCGAAGAGCGCAGGGAGAAGGGCGTGAGAAGAATATAGGCTCTCGGGAAATGTAGTTGAGCATTGAAGGAACTGCTTCGGAGGCGGCGACAGCGCGCGGGCCGCCTAAACCACACTTCCCAGAGGGCGTCGCGGCGAAGGCGAGCCGAACCTTTTTCTGGACAGCACCGCGCGCCTTCCACGAGTTGGTTCCGCGATAGAGGTGACCTGACTCCCTGACGTCGTCCTGCAGGTGCAGAAATTGTCGGCGCAGATCCTAATCATGGTGAGTATGGGCTCCAGGCCCCCGCACCCCTAGGCCTTCGGGCTCTTCTGAGTTTCTTGTTTCTTGCTCTGGATGAACTTCTGAAAGGCAGCATTGAGAGGCGCTATCCTTCACGCCGTTTGTAAAACATCTTCTGGGGATTGTCGCAGTAACCCAGCATTTGGGAAGGGGTTGATTTCCATCTGGGAGGGGGCTGTGGAGAAATCAGTGCCTCGGAGAGGCGCGATCTCAATCATGCTGAGGAAAGAAATCCAAGTTTTGATTTTTTCCGAAGGATTTGATAAGGATGATGAGGTTTGATGGGAGGGAGAGTTGGGTCCTGACCTCTTTTTTGCTTCTTAAGTCACATTGTTTATAAGGACCTTTGTCACAATGCTCTTGAAAGCCCTGGGCTGTTTAAAATAGTGCTCCTCTTGTACTTCGGAGTATGATCTCTGTTTTAAGGAGACGTGTGTTTCCGCCATATCTAATGTCACAAAATGTTGTCTAAAACCTGTTCATTGATCTCCTTTTCTAATGCCAGAACACGTTAGCATCACTAGCCAAATAACTAGTGCAGATATTCTTTACGGTTCTGTGGGTCATGAATTCTAGAAGCACTGCTGGTAAATGCAACGCCGTGAAATCACCTTGTCGTTGAAGACCTGGATCCCCAGATCTCCATGTCTTTTCCCTGCCGAAAGAGAAAGGAGGGGGGAGGGCTGGTGAGGGCTCTGACGTCGGAATGATCTGTACTGTCTCAAGGTGACATTTGCCACCCCATTGAAGGAAATTGCTTTAACACTTGTATTTATATTTGGATTTTTTTTTCTCCTTTACCTCAGAAATACTAAAATGAGTGGGTAGTGTGAGAAAATATTTGGATGAATTGGAAATTTCCCAGAACCTGAAAAAAACACGTTTTCAAGGCAAGGGCTTGACTCCCACCACCTTTATAAGGAGACCAAGGGGAACCGCTAATAATTCCCATGTAATTGTTTCCTCTTACTTTATCAGAAAACTATAAGTTGGGGTTTCATCCTAATAATCTTGGCAAGAAAGCAGAAGTACTTATCACAAAACCTTGGATTATAATTTTAGAACTAATCTTAGCAAACATTCCCACTTGAATTATTAAAATTGAGTTTATTGAGCCCCAGAGAGAATGTGATTTGCTAAAGGTCACACAAGGTTTGCACCAAGGGTCTCACACTCTTTTCCATTTTATCATTATTATGTTATGTATTACCAAGTCATTGTGAAATTTTACTTTTAGTAGTCAAAGTGCTGGACGAATATAGAACTTCATACTACAAATATGAGCTCAGCTATGTTATCAGCATCTAGATTATCTAATAGCTTTATTCTTTGTAATTCAGAATGTTGGAATTCTGAAGTTAAAGGGGAATTTGGAAATTATATTATCTACTCTTAAAATGTAGCCGGGTAAGGTCAAATGATTTTCTCAAGGCACAGAAAGATCCAGGGCCCCAATTCTTGTGTTGCTACACAGTAGACTGAGCCTGCTCTCACCCCTGGAAGGTCACTGTGGTGGCCCTGCAGTACCCTATGACACAAGAGATGGTCCAGATGGAAGATTTCTGTCAGTTTGCTGTCTCACATGATTCAGAATTGTCCTGCCTCAGAAGAACATGTGAACAAGTTGCCAATTTAGAGAACAGCCACCAAGCCAGATGTGATGGCACGCATCTGTAATCCCAGCACTGGGGAGACTGAGGAATGAGGATCTCCAGTTTTGAGGGCAATCTGTGCTTCATGTGAAACCCTGTCTCAAAAAAAAGTAAAGAAAGAAGGGAAAATAGCCATCTTTTGTAAGCCAAAAGGAACCTTTTTGGGTTTTTTTTTTTTTTTTTGGTGGTCTTAGAGTTTGAGCTCATGGTCTTATGCTTGCTAGGCAAGGGCTCTGGTTATTTTGGATATAGGGTCTTGCTTTTCACCCAGGCTAACCTGGGCCATGATCCTCCTCCACCATGGCTGAGATGACAGGAGCCTTGTTAACGGTTGGTTGAGATGGGGCCTTGTTAACTTTTTCCCCAGACTGGTCTGAAACCCATGTACTCTCCATGGTGCCTGGCTTTAAAGCAATTTTTTTTTAATCTTTTTGCCGTACTGTGCTTTGAACTCAAGGCCTTGTACTTGGCTAGGCAGGCACTCTACCACTGGAGCCACTCCACCAACCCTTCAAAGAATTTTTTAAAGGTAGAGATTGTTTGCTTGTGTCCATAGATAATGACAGCAAGAATAACTGTATTCTTATGTAATCACAAGGAATCTAAACGATATCACTTTTCTTTTGTATTACAGAAATATATGTAAGTTAGAAATATCAATAAGAGTATAAGAATACATACATTTTTCTGTGGAATAAAAGAAGGAACACTTAAATTCAAGCTTTGCAACTGAGACTTTAACATGTTATCAAGACAGAGCCTGCATCTGCAGGAAGGTCATTAGTACCCTGCAGAGAGCAAAGACATTCCTTCTTGGGTCTTGGCAGACTGCCCAGAATCTGAGCAAAGAATAGTAACCTGCATCGGCACCGGAACATTGTGAGAAGTCAGTGGGACTCCTCCCCCAGCCCTGCTTCTCAACTGCAGTGTTTCAGAAGAGTAGTAAGAACTAATATGTGCTTCCTTTACCTATTTCATCATCAAACATTCAGACACTTAACTAGGCTTCATACTACCCTTAACAAGATGGAATTGCCTATCTGTGAAAATAATTTGCCCAGAAATACAAAACGAAGCTGCTGAGATTGAATTAGCTGTTCATTAGTTGGCCACAACCCCTTCACTAAGGACTATGATACTGTGAACACATTTTTTAGTAGCTAAAATTAGCTCCTAAAATTGACTGCATTATTCTGTTCTATCTCTATTTGACTTTCTGGGAGGTTAATACATAGCGGCATTCTTTACCTTCACTCATTCAACAAATATATGTTGAAATTATATGAGAGTGCAAATCTGAGTCAAAGGCAAACTACTCCCAAGGGGGATTCACAGTCTAATTGAGTTAACAGATGTGTAAATTGAAAACCAATGGCTATCAGAACCCTTAGAGGAAAATTCTTTTATGACAGAGACCTATAAAATTATAACACTTGTTGCATATTGTTCTTTGTGCTTTGAATGTGAACTATTTCAGTACTTAAAACTACCTGGTTTGTTAGGTAGCTGCTGTTATTTTCTCCATTTCACTATGAGACAGCAATACAGAGAGGTTAAGTAACTTGCCTAAGAACATGAAGCTAATGAATTGTGGGACCAGGACTTGAGCCTGGAGGTTTGGCTCCAAAGGCCATCTCTTTAATTGCTGCTCTTTGCTGCCTTTAGCCTCCGGTTTTAGAAAATTGGTTTATCCACTTTCTAAATCCAGTTGGTACACTGACAGATTCCCTGGCTTAAACAAGTACCAGGCACGTAAGAATTCAACAGCGTACTGTTTAGTGAGTCAATTAAGTGAGGTGATAGTTTATAGTTGATTGATAAGACTATAGCATTAGAAATTGTGACATAGTTTTGCTTACATAGCTGAAACTATTATAGTCCCTCATTTGCTAACCTTCTCAGTGTAAGTATATATGAATAAAATATCTTTAATTTTTTTAAAAGCATGTTCAGTTTGTTTCTAAATCTCATACATGTCCATCTTTTTGGTAGCAGTATTTATAAGATCCAGCTATTTGTAAAGCAAATTCCTAGCTGTAACTATGTACCAGGTGTTCTAGTTCATTGGAATATAGCAGCAAATAAAGTTGATTTAAAAAGGCAAAATAAATAAAATAGGCAAAATCCCTGGTCTTAAGAAGTCTGCTTGCATGCTAATGGAGAAGAGAGGAATAATTTTCCTCCATTCCCCTTTCCTCATCTAGTCTTGATTTACTTCAACAAAGTCAAGAATGACAGGATGAAAACTATGTACAGGGCAGTAAATATTACTATAAATAGTAATAGTTCCTAGTAATGGCATACCAGAACACAAACATTTTGTGTAATTTTTTATAATAGAAAATAACTGTACAGTAAATGCTTAATGCTGTTTATCTAGCCTATTTAAGAATACAAATATATATTTTATTTAAATTGGCTTATGTAGAAAACTTTCATATTTGCATGGGGATGAGAAAGTCTAGGAGGAAGATGATGGAGACAGGTGGAGAAGAGACACAAAAGTTCATATGAAGGCTTAGGGGGGGAGTTTGCAGGGGAAGAAAATGGAGAAGAGGCCCAGGAGTTGAGGGAGGAACTTTCTCCACAGTTTTCTGGACACTTGGGCATGTCTCTAAGGAAATGACGTGCAGTATGCTATGATCACATTCATTTCTTTCTCACAGTTGACACTTCTTTCCTGAGATTATTTTTTTTCTCCTTTGACGTCTATGGGTACCATAATGCTGAGGGCTACTGACATTCAGAGCTTAGGGATAGGAGGTTAAAAGCTCCTTCAAAGTCATCATCCTCCTTCCACCACATCAGAGAAATGACTCATCTGGAAGAGGGAATTCAAAATAAAACAGACTCAAACATTTCTATCACCAGTAAAGTTAGTGGGCCATTTCTTCATGCAGGTAGGAAGTGGTAACAGAAGCACATTTACCCAGCATTGTAGGGGAAAGGAATAGTTCACCTTGGTTCTATTTAAATTCTCTGAGCTTAATTTAACCTTTTTGTTAATAACTCAAGGTCATCACTTTGAATATCAGCTTTTTGGTTTTTTGGTTTTTGGTTGTTTTTTGGGCTTTTTTTGTCCATGTGTCTTACTTTATTCAGGGTCTGTTGATGTCTGCAAAGCTACTTCTTTCACTATACTCTTTGTATGGCTCCTCCTCCTTCCTGGAATCAGGTTGTCAATTAGTGCTACATGTTACTGTTGTTTATTACTGTTTAATACTAAAATTTATTTTAATCCAGATATTATCATTTTGTCACTTTTTTCGCAGTAAAAAAATAAAAGGATTATTTTTTTCCTCTTTCAGGTAGTTAAGTTGAAGCATGATTGTTTTAATAAAACATTTTGGCTCAATGTAAATAGAAAGTTTTAATCACTGATACTCCTTCCTGGTGTGAAGGATTCTACTGAGCAGATGCACATGCGGGATTTGCATAATAAGAATTTGTGATTTGGGAGTTTGTATCACCACATAACACACATTCTCATCATAAGGCCTATTTTAGTAGTAAAGTATCCCCCTCCTCCAAAATGGATGAGATTATGTAAGTAAATACAGGATAACACTTTTTGTTCCCATACCTTGAGAGTTAAGTAACACCACAGAAATATGCAGCCAAAGGATACATATTTAGTAAGTTGCTTATTGTTTGTTTCTGCTATATTTATAAAAATTAAGTCAGTAAATTAGTTTCCTACTAAGTCAGATGAGAGAAACTAAAATGTTACATTCACTTCCTCCCCCATACCTACCTGCCTTGGTGCTGGAGAATCTATTACAGATCTACATCCCCAGCTCTTCATTTTTTTTTTTGAGACAAGATCTTCTGTCTTATTTAGCTCATGCTGGCCTGAAATTCACTATGTGGCCCAGGGTGGCCTCATACTGGGGTCCTTCTGACTTCTGTGCTCCACCATACCCACGTACTTTCACTTTTAGCATGTTTTTGTCTTAATAAAATCCTAAATATCTCCTAGATAAAATAGCACTTTTTAATAAGATGTGAATGGGTGTTGTTTTTTGTTTTTTGTTTTCATTACAGTCTGAACCAATCAGAGTCCTTGTGACTGGAGCAGCTGGTCAAATTGCGTATTCATTGTTGTACAGTATTGGAAATGGATCTGTCTTTGGTAAAGACCAGGTAAGGGCATGTCTATAAATCTTGGCATTATTAGAGTAAGAATGTTGTTAATAAAACTCTGTGTTCAGTTGCAAGCAGATTATAAAATGGTGAAGGACAGGCTAGTCCCTATAAATGTAATAAAAGTTCCTATAAGCGGAGCTGGCAAGGTATTTACGTGCATCCCTCCAGGCATTGGAAACAGTTTGCAAATCAGAACTATTCTACATACTGTATTTAGTTAACTTGGTGCAATCAGCAGGTATAAGATGCCACTAGTGACAGGAATTGTCAGGAGAGTTCTAAGAGAAAATTGCTGAATTAGCACTTCTTTGTTCATAAATGGTCTTTGGAACCAAAATAGTGACACAGGAAATCTGCTACTTTAATTCTAGCAATTATTTTAGCCTAATTCTTAATTAGGGGACCCTTATTCTAGCAAGACTGGTTAATGTACACTGAAATCCTTTACTAAAGTGTAACAGCAAGCTGTGGCATCTCACTTCTATTGATGTTTCTTTCCTGTTCTTTAAAATTCAGTAATGATGATTCCTCTTGGTGTGTCTGTAAATCATTGCTGATTTTATAGCATTCCTTTTTCTGAAGATGGCATAATATTCGCTATCTGAGCTCCTTAAACAGTTTTTATGACTAATGGGAATTATATACATGTAAACAAAAACTGCAAAAGGACTTTTTTGTGAGTAAATGACAAAACTTACACTGACAGATACTGTCCTTGCTATTTGGCAGCCTATAATTCTTGTGCTGTTGGACATCACTCCCATGATGGGTGTTCTTGATGGTGTCCTAATGGAACTGCAAGACTGTGCCCTTCCCCTCCTGAAAGGTGAGTTGGGGAGGCAAAGAGAAAGGATTTTATACTATTGTATATCTTATAAAAATAGCTTTTAGATTTTTGTTAGACTCTCAATTAGAAATTATGCCATAAAAGTGTTATTTTTGTTTTGTGAACTACAGCTACCTTTTTAAGATGTACACCAAGAATAAATGAGGGCAAAAGCAAAAAAACAATTGTGTGAAGTAAAGGACTTCTTTTTCCTCATCATGTCTATAATTTATTATACTAAGGAAGCATAATATCCACAAGGATTATGTACCTGAGGTTGTCTACATTGTGTTGTTATTTGAAGTCTATGTAAATGCTAATAGTAGCATCCTATAATGGAAAACTTTAATTTTAAAGGATGTCCTCCAGAGCCATATACTACCCTTGAAGTGAGTTGGTACCTCATATTTGGTCCCATCCCATCTGCCACTCATCAGATTGTGACATAGTGTAAATTGTCCTCATTATATGCTCCATAGCTTGAAAAAACCCACAACAGTTCAAAGAAATGCCTTTTAGAATCATTGAACTATTACTTTAATGTACAACAGAAGTCTTAAATTTGATTGACAAGTTGGTCAAACTGTCAGGTCATATTTTTTACTTAATTTGAGTATTTTTCTTTAGCTATACCTTCATTGTGGTCCTTTTCTTTTGGTAAAGATTAATTAATGATACTCTTGTAGAAGTTTGCTTAAAACAAAATATATACACATCCCAAGGAAAACCTTCTTTGAATTTCATAGTTCTAGTCTATAGTTTTCTAGAAGGAACACTCTACCATCTAAATCATTTGGTTGCCTACTTCTGTAAAATACATGACTCTGCCCAGGCTTTTCTGCTGGCTCCTTTTCCTTACCCACAACTCTTACCAAATCAACTTCCTCTGTTGCTTTTTCCCATTTGCATTCCCTTGTCTGCTGACTTCCTTCTGCTCCCTGTAATGGACCTAGCTTTTCCCCTGGCAGCTATTAATATAACAGAGAAGGGAAGTTTCAGCAAATAAGAATGTATGGCTGAGAAAAAGAAGA